CTGTTGAACAATGATTGCGTTAATTAGACCGAAATGATTGATACCTCGGATTTGCATTAGTATATCTTTTGCGCGTTTAGGTGATATAGAAATATACACCTACTCTGAGTGACCCATTGAGCTATTTTCACAGATATTCATGCAATTGGTCAACTTTGTATCGACATAGAAATATGTGGTATGAATTGACTAATTAGGGTTAATATTCGCTCGAAAGAGGGTATTAGCTAAAACTGGAAAATCGGGTCTGACTACTTATTTTGATGATTAGCAGTTACACGTGAATGAATTGACATTAATGAAGTATAGGTTAAGCGAAACATAAATTCCAACATCTTTTCAAAACCAAAACTTTTTTTACTTTTTAATCTGACTTTTATTCAGTTTTTAGTCTAACTGTAGTTTTTAGAATTTTAAATTCATTTTTAAATCTGTGTGTGTGTCGTCATTAAAATTAAGACTGATAAACGTCGAATTGAATTCCACACTCTCCGAGGGATCGACTTGGACTCTTTAGGTCCACTTTTACTATTTGTTCTCGACCCGTGCGCTTGCGGCATAGAATCGAAATACGAACAGTTATTGAGTAACATTATCACACCCCATGATCCAAGAATCCCCGGTTGTAGGCAGTTAAATGGCAAGAGTAATGGCAACAGTTAGAGACAGTAATTCCATGACAAGTCAGCCATCATGAAGAAAGTTGGTAGTTATAGAGTATCAAGCAGTTTTGGTAACTGAAAATAAGGCCCAGTTCATTCCTCAGCCCAATAGCCAGTCTAGCCAAGAGAGTCTGTGCTTCTCTGGCCGTTGGATCTATTTGGATGCCCAATCTCTCGAGACTGGATATTTTGGAGTATTCACTTGGTTTATTCATTCATTCGTCTTTTCAGTCTTGAGGGTTTTCTAGAGTCTTCGGCTTTCTCTATGTTCTTTCATCATCTTCTTCTTCTGTGAGGAATCCAGGAATTAGTTTCTGGAGTTGTGTTTTCTTTGTGAATTTGTTGAAAGAACATTGAAATATTGTTGGTATCATTGAGCTCTTCTGGTTCATTGAAGAAGTTGCACGATCTTTGGTCTGAGATTGTGAGGGTTGAAGAGATCTGGGCTTGTTTTGTGTTGATTCCTATGGTGTTGGTTTCTGAGCCTTTCGATCGTTGATACTTTGATGTCCAGTGGTTATTATCTGTAGTTCATTGTAATAGGGTTCGAGGTTTGTAGATCTGTAACTTTGTGTTCGATCTTTGTATAACAAAAATGAAGACCAGAATTTCCAAAGTGTTATGTTTCTTCTCTTGATTAAAAGATGATTAAAACCATTTAGACATTTATCTAGTTGATATTCATTTGAAACTTGGGGGGTGCATTCAATTTAGATTTTTAAGGACTTTTAGAGACTTAGTGAGTGTTTGACACCCATTTTATTGAGTTGAAAAATTTTGGAATAGTGGTTGATGGGAGAATGTGTGGTGGAAAAGTTTTAGATTTGTGTGTAATATTATTTTATTTGGAGATTGCGTGGTTAAAATGAAGAAGTAAAAAAAAATGAGAAAGAGAATGGATGCCAAACAGGGGCTTAAAGAGTCTTGAGTGTATTCATAAAAACTCTAGGGGTATTCAATAGAGAATTTTAATAATATAGTTCTTAAAAGTTCTGAGATATTGAATCTACATATTTTAAAAGTCTTTAAAAGTTATGGTGTATTCAAAATGTTAATGACATTTAAAAACTTTAGAAAGTCTCTAATATATTAACATTTTAGCATAAAGCACAAAAATAGAACGTCACATTTCTCTCTCTTCTACTGGTTATATTTGTTCTCTTTTCCTTTTTCTCTCTTTTTTCATCGTTTCTGCCTATTTTCTAGGAAAAAAAGATCAAATTGTAATTAAAAATAAAAAAATCTTATAACATTTTTCACTCATCTTTTCCATCCAATATTTCTATGGAAAAGATCAATTTGTAATTAAAAGTTATAAGGTTTTACAAAAGCAATCTAATTTGAAATAAGTTTTAAATATATTAATTGAATGTTTACNGGCTTTGTGTCCAAGCCGTACTCTTACATATTGTCTGCTTTCAGAGGACATAAACTTATTTTATTCCTTACGAATTTTTGTCACATCTTTCAAGATTCGAACTCAAGATCTCTGCTTTATAAGAGACTTGTGCTAAATCATAGATCCCTCATAAGGTAAATATTTCGGGTTTGAATATGCGATAGAAACCTATGAGGGGTAAGATGGACTTAAACCCTCCTAAAGCGAACAATATGTAAGAGATTGACTTGAGAATGATGCCCAATCATCCTAACATTTGAACCAAAGATCTTTACCTTATAAGAGACTTAAATTGAATCATGGTATCAATTGAGTTTTTTGTAACGAGGCAACCTTTATGCCCAAATTGTTATATTATACGTAATGTCAAGTCTGAGCTCATCTTACCCCTGACCCTCACGAATTTCCCCTCACGAATTTCCATCCCCTCTCTCAGAATTCGAATCCAAAACTTCTACCTTATGAAAAACTTAGGTTGAATCCTGGTACAAATTGTGCAACTTATCCAATTAATACTAAAATTCAATTTAAGTTTCTTATAATACAGAGATCTTGATTTCAAATTATAGAGATACAACAAAAATCTGTGAGAGACAAGAGAGACTCGGACTTTTTCAAAGTAAGCAATACATATGATATAACGACTTGAGCACAAGTGCTCGGATCATTAAAAAAACTCGTGCGGGAACTAGTAACTTCATACTGGTGCCCTAGACCCAAGTGAATTCTATTTAAGTGAAAGTTTTAAATGTCAAATGAATTCTATAAGTCTTTGAATACAAGTCTACGGAAGTTTACGAAAGACTTTCATTCAAATCTATAAAAGTCAATTAACGGCCGCAAATTACACAAAAGTCCATCACTTAAAAAATCTTCAAAACTCTAAATTGAATACACCCTCCTCATTGGGGGAATGAACCGATATAGTTTAGAACAAAAAAAATTATGACATTTTAAGAAACCTTTAGAAAATTGGATATAACCTACTAGAATTTCATCCCAAACTAGAAAACTAATAAGGAAAGGGTGAATTACCTACTTAGCCTATTTCAGATTTATGATTAAAAATACACTAATGCTTCCCAAAAAAAGGGTTTTCTGGCTGGAAGGTTCCCGAGTAAAAATGCCTTCTTATCTTATATGGATACGACTGCTCTCCAAGAGCTCTATCCCTCACTCTGGAAATTTCTCTCTATATGAAAAGGAAGGCGTACTATTACATAAATGTGAAACGTTTTTCATTTGTTTACTTATATTTAGAGGAGATCAGATATCCACCCTCTTTCACTCCCAACTAACAAATGGAGGTAGCACCAAATGACTGTAAATTATGAAAGGATAACTTATGTAGAGACATTGTTGAGAATCAGGCCAAATAATGAAGTCAAGAAAATATGAATAATATGAAAAATAATGGATCACACAAAACACAAGATTTACGTGGAAGGTGGGGAAAATTTCATATACCAAGAAACTACAATTATGTTTACAAGATTTGATACTCTCAATCTAAATCTAAACATTCCTTCAAGTTTCTAATGTATACAACAATGATCTAATTGTTATATTGAGTCTTTGAAGAATGTGAAGTATATATAGGAATTTATTACAAAAGTTTTGAATAAAATACAACTCAAGAAATGAGTCAGAATCGAAAAATGATTCCCGCCCGAATAACACTACTGCTTAAGTGTCAGGCATACGGTAGCTCCACCGCTCGAGCGAAACACTGGCACAAGGATAGCGTTAGCTCTCCGTTCCCTTTTTCACCCCCGATACTTGAGTGCTAAATTTAGCGGCCAGCTAACGAAACTGCAGCAAATTTTTCTCCACCAAAACTCTAAAACAAAGTTTTCAATAATCCAAAGTCTTTTTACCAATCAAACTTTTAATTCTTAATGAACTTTGATCACTTTTTCAACTGGACTCCAAACCAAGAAGACTCTTCTTCCTTTTATCAATTTACCAACCCAACCCTAATCCCAAGGAATTTGGGTCATACTCTAACAAGCATCACAAGAGCCATAGCATCCCAATAAAATGGGACCAAAATTAATATAAGAGTTTACATGTTTGGAAACTATTTGATTGCAATACATCTTTAGCCTTTAGGTTAATGGACAATAGTTATTATAATTTCGAACAGATAGGCACTTAATGTACAAAATAATACCTATAGATAACTGTCATACAGTCACCAAAGAAAAATAAAAAATGACAAGAAGCTAGAGGAACCAAGCATGTAAAACTTTCTAACTAGTTCAGAATGGTGGCTGAATAAAAAAATTGAAGGTTGACATTGTCATGGAAAAAGATTTGTGCCTCTTGATATAATATAAGTAGATGAACTTTGAAAGTTAAAGCTGTAAAAACAGACAAAAGAACTTCTTGAGCTAAAGTAAACAAATTACAGGCCCACATTTACATGCTAAAAGAAGAAAAAGATTATCTTCCATAAAAATGATGAACTTCAAACTTGATTCTAGTAATTCAGATATAATATTCCTTCCAGGAATGTACTATAATTTGTTTATATACTATGAGAAAAAATATTTGAAGAGACATGGAATTTGAGTTTCAAAATCAAGTGGCCCGCAACTGTAGAAGATCACCTTGTCAGTCTTGCCACACATCTTTGGGAGGACAACAATATCATAAATAGAGAAAGAGTAAATACACAAAGATCATAATTCGATAAACTAAGACGCATGGAATAAACATGATGCAGGGAATAAACAGACAGAGTTCACCAGGCATCAATAGTTAACATAGAGAAGAAAGAACATGTATTCATATTCAACTAGAAAGAAAGCTCCAGGATACTAGCCAAAAAAAAAAAGGTTAAAAGGATGCACTGTGATAAATTAACACTAGAAGCAGTGCAAGGAAGGTAGAATTCCCTTAAACAGTAAATCAATGGAATTGAGCGTTTCCATCCACTAATTGTTCAGAGTTACTCGAGTTGCCACAAACATTGCACTCCATGACAGTAGATGGAACGGCATCCACTGGAGGCAAGGGAGCCAATGTACCCCAGCAATTGTCTCGGTCACACGTGTACTGAAGGAAGAAATGAGCATGGGGGCAACTACTGTCCTCTTGTGCCCTATCCTCGTCAGCATCCTCATCCATGGAAGCCTCCTCCTCCTCCTCCTCTCCCTCTTCCTCATCATACCAATTGGCTTCGACCTAGCAACAGTCAAGTCAAAGGTGAAACCATAGTCATCCTTCAACCTGTGCTGCCTTTCGGTGCACTTGAGATTGACAGGGAAATAATTCAAGCATATCCATCTGCCGTCAGGTAGGTCGTGAATGACCCGGACAATGAGATCAGTGTTACCATGATCAGCAACAGTTGACATAGTCGAACCTGCAAGCATTAGGGAGGCAATCGTGATTGAAAAAATCCTCACTGACCTTTCTATATGTTGCGCAAAAGGCTCCATCAAACCAAAGGCGTTGAGCTTGTCCTTAGCCAAAAGAGCCGCAGAAAGCTCCACCGAAAAGCCAAATTGACTGTGATTAGGGAACGTACAGAGAGAGTAAATGATGGAATGGAGGAAAAGAGTGGTGTCGTCTAGTGATGTAATGGAGTCACCTTGAAGGGACAAAAGAGTCTGTAAATTTGAAGTGGACACCACGGCCAGGTCGTAAGAAACAGGAAAACGGGCGTGGACTTGGCAGTCCTGAGGTTGGTGTAAAAGAGGAGAATTCACTTCTCGGAGGTGCGAGAAGGCTTGGAAGACCCATTGGATGTGGGAGTGTGAGCTATGAATTGGCATTGTGGGCTACAGAATAGTGAAGCAGAGGATCACCAAGGACAAGAAAGCGCCTCTCAGGCGAAAGTATTGCTCTGAAACAGTTGGAGCAGCATTTATTGACGTGATTTAGAAGAGGAGCAGCAGAATAGAGGAGGATTGGGGAATCCCTGAAGACAATCTGTCCAGCTCTTAGCGGCTGTGAAGAAACGAGTGCTCTCCCCCTTCCTTCAATCTCCGCCATATTCACCGGCGGCAGCGTTGATACATGCGACATTTTGCGGGGTAATTTCTGATCTCTACCTCTCCTACTGTTTTCACTTGCTGTCCTTGTCAATTCACGTAGGGTACAGGATTTTAGTTTCGCAATTAGAATACGGTTGTAATATTCCTCACAATTTTTATTTTTTTTTAACATTTAATTTAATCTTTATTCATTATCACATTTATACTCTTCATTTTTTTCATCACGTTCTTATTTTTTAATATTTTATTGATAAAAAATAGTGTCTTCAATCATGATTTTCATCTAAAAATATTGTTAACATTCTTTAAAATGAGGATGAAATATTTAATCATATTTTTTTCATTATTATATGTTTTGCTTATTTAAAAATATGATGGGCAAATAAATCTATTTACTATTTTAAAAAAAAAAAATTGAAGAGAAATAATAATCATGAACAATTTATATTAATTTGAGAATAATAATGCCATGAAAAAAAATTGAGACACAAATGTAAAAACTATAGATATTTCATGCAATTAAAATATAGTCGAATTATTCAAAATTGTGAATATATTTAACCTTAGAGTACCCCTATAATAATTAACAAAAATTACTGAAATGTCTATCAAAGTTATTCCCTAAAATTATTTAAATAGAAAAACTATACATAGAGTATAAGCTAGTCAAATGTGCATTAAACAACCAATGCACAATTGTGAAAAATAAAAAATCCTCGGTATTGTAGTAGTAAGTAAAAACCTGTGAAATTTATATAAAGGCAACGTCGTCAATTTGGTTGCACAACAATTGAAAACTGTGAACAGTATGTCACCTATGCAAATAAAACTGTTATTGCATTCATTTCAAATAGGACAAACAAAGAAGAATCTTAGATCAACCCAATTTCAAATCATACATCCAGGAAAACAAATACAGTTTGGAATAGTCAAAGAAAGTGTTTCTACATATGCTTATTTAGTTGAGATCAGAGGAAAATCGTAGCAATTTTAGGATTTAAGGGATGCGCCCACTTTGACAAGCTCCTCAAGTGCCTTCGAGATTTGTTCTTCTGTCAAGCCTTCCAACCGAATGCCCCCTTTCGACACCCATATCTGTTTAAAAACCAACACATGCAAGGATAAAATGGCAATATAAATATCAAGTATAATTTACAAGTCCAAATTTTACAGAAGGTTGTGTATCTGGCACGTGTAGGTGTACACATGGGAGAAGAATGATCAATTGGAGAAAACAAACAGCATGTTTCCAGTACGTGATCTCAAGTGTCATAATACAAATTTCATTGTTCTTACTGTCTAGCACTTATTCATGCCAAATTACAAAGATCAATGAATAAAGAGCCCAAGTTATGAACCGTATCTGCATTCTTGTTCTTCAGCTTGCTGCACAAGCAATATCTGTCTTATATTTTCACCTTCTTCCGATGGAAAAGAATTCAATCAAACAATTAGAAAAAAAATTATAGCTTGGGAAATTTGCAGAGTTTTGAACTATTCCTATGTTACTTTTTTGTGGATTAGCATAGTTTGAAAATAACATCTTAATACAAAAGGGGGAAATGATTCAGATTCCGTTACAAGAAGCATTTACAGATTCCAGAACGTTGATCATATGATGTGGCTGATAAAAAACACACCAAAGAAGAAATCAAGTTGAAATAACCCATTGAACTGAAAGCATGTTTCAGCTCAACTTGGCAACAGACACAAAGGGCTCTTGTAGTCAACTAAGAGGAATGAAATAGAAGAACCCTGCATGGGGTTATGCTTGCACTTTGTATGCTTTGAGGTGAATTATCTGTAAATCTAGTTCAAACATATAATGGATCTATATTGTAGATATGCTAAGAGAAGGAAAAGTAGAATGGATGGAACAGCATAAGAGGAGATACGCATAATAAAGAAAATTGCAATAACCAAGAAAATTAATGGAAATTATTAATTTGGAGTTTTGGACATATGGCATAAACTATAAAGAAGAATATAATGCAATTAAAAGGAAACATAGCTTAGAACATAGAAATTGTTAGGCATCTCAAGTGAACAATGGGGGAAAGATGTATTCCTATTTAAGAATAAGTGAAAAGCTACGTCATTCCTAGACCTTGTCTTATGCTTTGGGTCAGGTTTGGGTTCAGACACAATGGATGCCAAATTCTAAGACTGTCGGGTTTGCATAATAAGTAATACCTCTAATTTCAAATAGAATGACAAGCACGAGTTCAATATGTGCATCCATTACTTCAGTAGTATAAATTATTTCTTTATTCCCTGAGATTTTAAATTTGCAAGTTTTAAAAGGAGGGAACCAAAATTATACAGGAGTTAATGTGATATTTGGTTCGTAGTAAAGACATTTTTAGGTTCTCTAATTTGGAGCTTGAATGAAGTACAATATAGGATAAGTGTAGCCCTCTACTGAGAGTAAATGTTAACATAACTCAAGGTAAAAAAATTATTATTGTCATAGGAGAAATAAACAGGAAGAAGCCATTGACTGTTTTTGTGTGGCACAACAGTGCCTAGTCGTAGGTGAAATAATACTGGAAGAAAAAAGAGCATGTATCCTTCCATGTGAATTAAATGTTTAATTGCCAAGTATTCATTTCTGATTGATAATTTGTTAGACCTGAAAATTTTACTCGCTAAGTATATTGCAGCTGAACATTAGGTTTATGGATTACAATATTTCATTCTAATCTATGCCCTTCATGACTGCTTTATTGAGAACCAGAACAATCCATATCGTCGAACTACATTTTTTACCACTTATATTAATGCGTGATGACATCACAGATATATCTTTCTCATCAAATCTTTTACTGTGGTGACAGTATAACCTCTAAAATTAATACTCAATAAATTAATAAAAATATAGTATATAATATTTTTTTTACAGTCCTGACTTAGGCTAATAGGCTAAATAAATAATTTCGATAAAATAATAAGATAATACTTTTATGAAAACTCTTACACAAGTCTCCGTGGTCCTATTCATATCATAAATTAATAATTTGCTAAAATTACAAATAAATTTGCCTATGATATTTATTAAAAGGGTTGTGCTAGTGGTACATCACACCCTACATAAGGGTTCCAGACTTCATCCAATGGAGAGGCGTCGGGTGTCCATTATGGACACCCTTATGTAGGGTGTGATGTACCACTAGCATTGTTCTTATTAAAATATGACTATTGTTACTAGTTTTTTTCTTGATGTTCGAATCTAGTTGGATCTCATCTCTAGTTTTTCTTATTGCATCTAGAAGTTCTGGGTTGAATTCTCGAATTACAAAAAATAAATAAATAAATGAAGCATTGTTGATTCTTCAGTGTTTCCTTGCGCGTAATAGGCTCCAAAGCTATTGACTATGTTCTTTGTTTTTGGTCAAAATACAATGAATTTTTTAGCTGATTAAATAGATGTTAGTTAAATTGTAAATACAGTATTAATTTATTGATTAATTAATACCTCTTTAATTAATAGAATATATATGGTCTCGGGGCTATTGGTTTATAGAGGTTATAGTGTACATAGGATTATTTTGGACTAGTAGTAATGCATCGATGCACACTTGAATGCACCCTCCACTCACCAGGTAATTATACTGTTGTAGGCTATGGAAAGAAAAGAAGCAACAATGTAAATAGTTTATGGGCAAATTCCTGGCAAATGTGGAGACTTGAACCCTTATACAGATGTAATTATGGCAGCTCAGGAGAATTAGCTTTTTAATTATTATAATCCTTTATAGTCGTCATATGAATATTATAAAATGGACTGGTTATCTATTGTGACTTCATAGTTGCAATGCAGTTGTAGAAAACATAGTTTATTTTGCATATTGATTGTTATATAGAATACTTTCATGATGCTTCTCAGCTAATTTTCAAGCTGCATTTGATTTGTTAAAATGTAAGTAGGGATATTTTCCTTCCTAGCTGTGCTCTAGCTTGATTTTTGAGCAGTCTCGCGTTGGAACATTTCAAGCAGAATCTGGGGCTTACTTGCAAACAATACTAACTATAAAGCCATCAGATATATGAAATGATCAATCTTTTCTGGTTAATCTTTTCGGATCTTCCACAAGAAGTAACGATGAACAGAACACAAATGGAGAAAAATGAATATTATAACCGGTATCAAATTTACTGGGAACAAAGCTTAATTTGTCCTTGTGGTGATGGCCATAACAAAAGATGAAAGATCAAACATATTGTTAACCTCAGACTAATAGTTTAGCCATACATAAATTTATTCCATATGTCGAATCATTTTTGCAAATTTTAGCATATGTTTGGCTCATGTTTATAAACCTTTTATGCTATCAATTCATCCACCACTCATTTCTATCTATGTATTATTCAAATTGTTTATAAACACTTCCCAAACATGCTCTTAGTCATCATTGTGATTTGTGAAGCAAGGACAATATAAACATTCACGAAAAATGTTGATCCTCAACAATTACAATGATGCATATCTTAACACTTGAAACAACTCCAATTATCCTCCAGGTTAAAAATATTTGAGTTTGTTTTAGAAAGTGAATAGAACTCCTCAACAGATGTACTTGACTAACACCACTATAATATACACAAAGAAAATATGAAAACAAAAAAATTGCACAAACTTACATATACACATACCCCAATTTTTCTTTATTCCAAGAACTCTATGATGATGTAAAGCAATCTATGCAAAGATATAACACTCAAAAGCTTCCAAAATCAAACTTTTGTTCCATATCATAGCAAAAATGTAACAAGGAACAAAAATTTACACCTTTCAAACACGACAAGAGAAGAACTGTTTAATCGAGAATAGCATACCGTATCTTGCCCAGAGCTGAGGCTCGACTCCTCTGCACTCACGGATTAATATTGGGAACTTGGGATTCTGCTTCTTTAGATCCGTGTAATTCTTCTCCACAAATGACCTATTAAAGTAGCCAGCTTTAATGGGGAAAAACTCCAATGCCGTATTTAAGGATTAGAAAAGCAAAAGAAATACCTAAAAGTAGCCAG